GAAAGAGATCTGTACACAAAGTTTTCTGTCACTTTTGGAAAGAAAACGGTTTTCACAGTTGGATGGGAAAAGAACATCGATAACTACCGAAAATCCCTTTTGTGCAGGTAGGTATTTGTTTTCAGTCACCGAGAGGTAGAGGAACGTCAGCTCTTAGAGAATCGCACAGTCCCTCAGAAGCAGCTCCTTCTGGAGTTCGTTTCAGTTAGCTCGGCGCTCCGAGGTGGGCACGCCAGCCCCCCTAGAAACACCTTGACAGACAGATCCATCCCGTGGCTCAGCACTGCTGCCGGGCAAGGTCTCCGGCCAGACGAGTGTGCTAATGACTCCTGTAAGGCGTGCAAAGCAGAATCGAGGGTAGCACATGACTGCCATGTTTAATTACTCTAATACAGCTTAACGGATACTGTTTGGAATGTAAGAGTCAGTTTTTGATGAAAAATCCAAGGACAAAATAGGGTCTTTCATTTGAATGTAGACACCAAAGCCTTGACCTCTCCTAAGAGCAGTCATTCAGAACAATTGTTACAGCAGGGACAGACATTTCTTCAACTCACAAAATATTCCTTAGCCAATATGCACTAACAACAGAGAGAGAATTTCACCTGCCTCAGCTGAGTATTTTTTTAACTACGGAACAATTTTCTGTAGGTTTGCCTAAATGCATTCAGCTGCTGAAAGGAACCTGGGATACAATGATGATCTTGGGGTTTTTTTCCCTTCTCAGAAGGATAATGCCAAACGTGCTATTTAGCTTCATTTCATGTTGCAAAACCACTTCTTTTGGAGTAGACTTTAAGGTCAGTGCTATGCACAAAACATCTTGTGTATGCTGACACTGCAATCAACTCCTTGATTGCTGACACACGGAGACGGCAAGTGATCTGCTGTCACAGTTAACGTAAGATACTACACGAAAATTAGACCCCTTTTGAAAACTTTCTTTGGGAGGTATTTTTTTGACAAAGCAGCTTCTCTCTTACAGCACTAATCAAGGCCTGTGAACAGTCAAACCAGCTTTTGCTCCTCAACCCACGAACCTGCCTCCTCAGCTACAGGCGAGGACACACCAAAGAGATGGACTTGGGTAACGCTGCCCATCCCTCGGCAGCAACAAGGGATCGTGAGAGCTCGGGGAGGGCCGAACTATCTCCCGACTGAGAACCTAGAGGGCGGGCTGAACCGAACCCTGAGCTATTGGTGGTGACAGCGGTCATAGACAATACAGGATAAAATAATTCACGTTTAGGTTTTTAACATTTATTAAAAAAGCAGGATGTATGTTCATTTCAAATTAAACAGTTAAAAATGTTAAAGCATACAAACAAATCAGTCGTGGACTAGCAGCATCCAATTGTTAGAATTTCCTAGAACTCCTCAGTACAGTCTTGGCAAGCTAAAAATCTTACAACTTGCAACCAACTGACCTCACCATAGTGCAGATAAAATAAACTTTATAAAAACAACAATTTAAGGTTAAATAAGCTTAAATAAAGGTGTTAAATACAAGACACTTGATCAAAGCTTCTGTACAAAGATAAACAAATTTGGCATTGTACAATTGATCGGCTGGCTCGCACCATACATGATTCCAACAGTGAAGCAGTATAACTGTTTAGCTGAACATCAACTATACAAAAGTAACTGAAGTTGGGAGAGGGCTAACCCCAGTGAGCCATTTACAAGGCATGTGTATTTTTAGAAAATCAGAACACTGTTTATATTCAGGCACCGTTTGTTCCTGCAAATAAATAATCTCTAATGTATCTGCATCCAAACTAGTGTTAAACACATCAGTGCTAACATTTTATAAACACAGCTTTGTGACTATTCACTATACCTCCATTGTTATTGCTATGACAATGTGGACCGTGGAAATAAACCTACTGTACATCCAAAAAAATAGAGCACCTTTTAAACATTAAAGTATATGTCTGGTTATTCTTTTTATCTTACAATACCGAAGCCCAAGCTAATGTAAATTGCTTTAACATCTTCACCAGCGCACCTGAAATGCAGGAACTAAAACCCCAAATATTCCTCTTCAGGCAAGCCCCAGCCAGAGCATCTTCTAAAAATGTCTAAAATGACACTAAGGATTTTTTACATTCATCTGCACACAAACAAATATCTGCTACTCTCCGCTTTCTTCACAGGGATTTAAAGATGGGTGACCACAGTTCTCTCTCCTTTTCAAGTGAATAAAGCTGGATAGAGAATGTAGCAGAAACACCTAAAATGGATTGTGAACACAGTGAAATTATTACCCCGCTAATTCAAAAAAATACAGCTGTTACATTGTTCCAATAAGTATTTTTCCAGCGGCCCAGCCATTAGGATTTTTTGTCTATCGTATTGAAAAACCACTCTGTAAATTTCCTCAGTTGAGCAGCTGCTGTTTGAGACTCCTCCTGAAGCCTCATGTTATCTTGCCTCAGATGCTGTACCTCTGCCTGGAGAACTGCCTTGTCCTGTTTTTCCTGGTTAACAAAGACACAAGTTGAGTAAACTGAGTAGTCGCGGTGGCAGCGTTTATTTTTGTTGTTAATATTTCTGTGCAAGTCAAACAGCTATAGTCTGCTGAGCTCCCTAATCCATTCTGACAACTACTAACTCTACGTTAATTCTCCAACCACGCTCCAACTACCACATTCATTCTGAAAAAAAACACTGCAAGCTGAAAAGGAAACTAGATGCTACTTTAATACAAAAATTATAGGAGTTTACTCCATTTAACAACACAAATCCAAGCACTAAAAGGATAAGAAGCTTTTAGCTATTACAAAGCACGCGTGAGAGCCCAAGTCACAAGGAACTGATTTCACGCGTGTGTTAAGGAAGAAAAATACCTAATTTCAAAATTTTCCCTTATTATGATTTTCTTACCAAAAGCAGTCTCATTTCTATCAGTCCTGGCACTGTCTCCAGCTCAGAAAATAGCAAATGAGACACAAAGAGAGTCATTGTTACATGATTGATAGGATGGTGAGTTGCCTCCTTGTGTGTCCAGTGACAGGTCTGGAGTGTTAGCTACTTCGCAATAGTGCCCTGTCCATACCCCTTATCCTTTATTAAACCCGAGGTGCCATAAATGGAGACAAAGCGCCTCTTTCTTTCTGTGGTATGACTGTGTAGGACAGTTATTCTGGAGTGAAGACCCATAAACTAGGTAGCCAGGAGGCAGGTTCTTCACGTAACCATTCCGGCAGGACCATCTGCACCTCAGTGTTCCGATTCCCACTGGCCTCTACCATTCATGAGCTACACCACCTACTTTAACTGATGCACTTTCACCAAGCCCTTGATGAAGTCTGCATAAAACCATAACTATTAAAGCTGGGGAGTAATAATACCACCAGTGATTCCTTACCTTTCTCAGGTCCGTTTGAAGTTGCCGGAGGATGACTTCTAGCTGGTTTACTTTTCCAGTCAGAGTACTCGGAGCATGCTCCCTGCAAAGTAAACCACTACCTTCACTCTGGGTTAGTTACAAACATTTTCTCCCCCAACTTTTGCGGATCATAACGCTTTGAGTGATAGCAAAGGAAACCAATCAGACAAAACCCAGCATCGGCAAAAGGCTATCACCTGGACATAAACCCGTTGCTGCAATATCTGAACCACGACACTGCCTCTCGTGCAAACCAAGAGGACTTTACAGTGATTTTAAGGAATGTTTTAGGAATTACTTGCAGTGAAAGTCAAACTGGCTGCTAAATGGCGTGCTGAGCACACTTGTTAAGAAGCTGCTTTCTGACAAGGACTGTACTAATCTGAAGCAAGCTGCAGCAGCAGTTACTGGAACCCAAAAGGGCTGTTAAAGGTTTTTTTTTTTTCTGGTCTGCAGTTGTGTCACTTCCAGTAATGGATAAACCTATGGCTTTGTGGTGACAAATATTTTGTTTAAAAGGTCAAAACATATGAAATATTGCCACAGCTTAAGCAAATGCACCACTGAAGGAAAATACTGAGAATAGCTTCTGTACCCTGTATGACAATGAGCACTGAGGGTGACAGATTTATACACATTATAGGTGAAATTAGCCATAATGTGAATCATTTTGTCTTGAAGAGAGAAGTTCTATATACAAAGCTGAATCAGCTGCTTCATGCAACTTCACAAATCTGACAGATTTGCCAATGCTAAAAGTGGAACATCTTTAACATCCTTACTGATGACTAGGCTGGGGAAAGATGTGCACTTAGACGTTATTACAATAAACGTGCTTTACCATGTAGGTAAGTTAATTTGTGTAAAATTGGTTCAAATTAAAATGTGATATTTTAACAAGTAAGAAGCTTTTCCCTCAATTTCCTGCTCTTCCATTCCCGCAGCTGAAGAGCAATACTAATCAAAGATGTGTTTTTCTTTTAAAACATGCTATTGGACAGATTATACTGCTGAATCTGTGCTTAAGTGTACTACTCACAGCAGGGTAGGTGGTACAGTGCAGGGGAGGGGGAGAAAAAAAAAAAAAAGGAATAACCTCTCCCAGAGCACTGGGAAGATTTTGAAGAATTGGGCAGTTTGGCATAAAATTTTCCTGCAGTTACAGGTTCTCTTGATTAATTTACCTCTGTAAAAATGAAAAGTCTGGATTTGCAAGTAGCAAATAGTTGCAAAAGACAGGTAGGAACATCTGTTCCAAGGTCTGAGATACTTCCTCCAGATAAGGTTATGCATACTACAGAGTTGAGCTTCTGTTACTGTTTCTATTAAAATGAAAACAGTAACAAACCATTATTGTATAGGAGAAACACAGTGAAAAATTTGGTTAGGTGAAACTCTGCATCTAACCACACTTTGCATTATAGGCCTACTCTAGTGAGAGCACTTTATCTGAACCATACTACATTCTTCCTAGATAGAACTGCTCAGAGGTTAATTTCAAGAAACAACATTTTTCAAAATTAAAGACAAGACATAATCAGTCAAGGTAACAGGTCTGCCACTAAGCAGCAGTGAAACACACATACAGGGTCTCTGACATGCAACATCAATCATAGAATCATAGAATG